AGGCGCTCACGATGAATGTGATTCCTGTGGTGTGGTGTTGGGTGAAAAATCGGTAAATACTCTTGCTATGGACACTTTGTATCAGTTACAGTTCGTGACATCTCCAAACGAGGGATTTTACGAAGCTTCGGTGAGAATGAAGAAGGGTGTTCCCTCACTAGTGGGAGATATCAGTCGAATTGATGCTTACAAGGATCAACCATATTGCATCGCGTCTTCATACCCACGTCTAAGGAAATACTGCTATTGTTCTCCGAAATAGAAAGAGGCCATTGAGAACGCAGGTTAAAAACAAGTACTTTGCTCATAGTGTTGGAAATTGTGAGTGATTTAGTCACTGTAGACCTGCTTCATGCATGGCAGTCGTAACTCTTTCACTCCCACGAGTGATCAAAAACGAAGTTCGCGCTGCAATATCTATTTTATTTCAAGCAGCAAGGTGATGAGATGTGAAAAAAAAATGAACAAATGAGAACAATACAACAAGTAATAAAAAGAAAATGAGTAGGAAGAAAGAGAACAAGTGAGAAACATTGGTTTACTGTTATTATATTTATGCAGGTAAATTAGTCTCAATGGGGTTAACCGATAGCCGTGAAATAGCAAGAAAATTTAGCCGTTAGGCGTAAAATTTGACGTATTTTAACTAATAGTCGTAAAAGCCATCACCCCATTGGTACCCTCTAACTAGAGTTTCGAACAAAAGCGGAGAAAGTCTCCTTGTCACGCAAGTGGAAGACTACATGACGTCATAATCCAACCATATCCGTCTAATTTTGTCAGTGATAACATTAGTGGATCCATGGGATCCCTCCTCCCCACTGACACTGCATAAACCCGAGCATTAAGTACGACTCGAGATGTTGAGCGAAGAGAAAGTGGCTCCATATTTTGTGAAACAAATCATTTCTTCAAGTTAGAACGAATCACATAGAAAGCATGAAAACAGCGCTGAAAAGTACCATGACTAAACGATAAAATTCGCTCCTCCCGCTGCTGGATTAACACCATTTTACCCGTGGGTTTGTTTCCTCCTCACATTTGCGCTCGGTAATTTAATTCTCAGATGTTTGACGGGTTCTCACATAACAATATTTTCAAAATCAAATTACCGCGTCAGACTTAATGTAAACATGAACATCGCTGACTCAATCTCATTGTAATTCAATTTTGGGAAAGGCCATTACTTCGTTCTTAGGGTAAAACAACAAACTTTCGACAAAGCGCGATTTTTGAATGAATAGTGTAAACCTTTTGATAGCCAGCTAATGAGAGAACGATAAAAACTTGCTTACGCCGTTCGCTATCATTTTAAAACTTTCTAGGCAAAATATAATCCGTTCCCTAAATAATTTGAAGCATACGAACACTTTGAAATGTTATTCGAGCGATGAACGGGCGCGAGGGTTTTAAAGCGATGTATGCAAAAGTCATTGTTTTACCGAAACGTGATTTGAATTATAAACTGAAGCTAGTATCAAACGAAGATTGGGAAAAAAGGTTTAAATTTTTCTGGGCCTCAGCGCAAGAGAAAACCCAGATAAGACACGACTTACCTCCTCTTCTTTCACGAATCCTTTGTGGTTCGCTTCTCTTTGTTGATGAACCCCTTTCGAGGGGGGCATTGGGATTTTAGGTTTTGCGGTTTTGGCTATTTTTTCGATCGGTTTTTCGGTTT